AGCTCGGCTCGTCAAGCACCTACATTTATTAAAATAGTCCTATAAATGACTATTCAACCCATGACCAACTAATCATAACAATCACTTAGTCCAAATAAGCTCACATAAGCATTTAATCAAAGAAATCTCATTTTCGAAAATATCACGTACGTTTTTCAAAATTTAACCCGGGCAACATTTTTAAAATCGACATAACTTTCAGCACATAACTCAGATAAATATGATTCAAGTTGCAATATAATCAAAAGGCATGCATATACAATTCTTATGAAGACACCAAAAGCAAAAAAGTCGTTTACTAGGAAATAATTCATCAAACATTCAAAACTAAGTAGCAGTCAAAAGTCGAGAACTTGTAACCGACCAGACTTCAGTATTTACTAGCTAACTGGAGCTAAAAACACGTTTTTTATGAGATTCAAAACCCATGTGGTAGCTAACTCAAATGTCTAAAACTTTACTGAAGACCACCTTTGCAAATAATCACATTATAAATGAGTTTTAACACAAAACATTCGATTCATAAAGTCTGCCCAAGACTAAAGTATGATATAAACAGCACCTCAGTAATTAGACTCTAATTCATGCTACCTACCTCATATCAGCATGCATCCTACCTCATTTGAAAGCTAAACATTAGACCTATAAGTTTTATGAAGATCAAAAATTAATTTGAGTACATTAAGATGCCATAAACAGGACAAACATATATTAGTACATGCTGCCGGGTTTTCAAAAACTGCTTGCTCACTCGTTTTATAAAAATCATAACTCACTCGATATATCTTGGATTATCAAAATTTCAAAGCCCAAAGGAAGCTAACAAGACGAACTACATATCATGTGAAGAATATATTTTCAGAAAACGAGTTCTTGAATGTCTTTTCAGAGGCACAACAGAGATCATACAAACATGCTTTATCATGCGAGCTAGGAATAACATTAACTTCTAGCATGCTTATGTACACTTATAAACTGAATATATATAGCATAACTATATATCAATAAACTCCTCATCTCATCAATAACAAGTTCTAAAATAGTTTAGCAAACCAACCTCTTAAAAGCCCTCAAAAACTCACAAGAAAAACAAATGTGCTCGGCTTGGCTATGCTTGAACTTGCTCTCGGCTTCAGCCTTTGAGGGAGGAGTTTGGATGACTTTTAATAAGTCTTAGAGGTGGAAGGCTTGTGATATCTGTTACTTAGCTGATGGGGGACGAAATGAAGAGATAGAGGACTAAGAGAACTATAAAACAAGGATAGAAACAATCATGAAGTATAAAAAAAATTTAAGATTTGGTGGTATGATGTTTTTCTTGGAATCTCATGACATGTGCAAGAGTTGACTCTCATGTGATAATAGAGGACAAAAGCAAGTAGGGAGGGTTGAACAACCGGACATTAGCAATGGAAGAGGACAAAGAGGTTATAAAAATACAACTTTTGTGACATATGACTAAGTAAAATAATGCCACTCTTATGGATGGTTATGGATCCTCTTTGATTCGGTTTTTATGCTCAAAAATGGCTGAAAATAATTTACTAACTTTGCTCTTGATGCTTACTAAAAATATTGAGAGAGAAAATAAAATTTACGGAACCAAAATCGAACTTAATATACGACTATAATCGAAAACGTATACTTTTACTAAAATTTGATTTTAACTCTTATGTTGGTTTTGATGGCTGAAAATACTATGAAAGAGTTGACAATATAATAGTTTTAAAGTCTGGTTGAATCGTTTCTAAGATCGGGTCGCAACGGTTCTAAAACGGATTCAAACGAACAACAATTCGGCCTACGCAATTAAACCGAAAATTCCAACGACGATTGATAAAATAAAAAACCGAACTATATAATTATAGTATCCACATAATAATAAAATAAATGTAATCTCATAATTAAAATTCAATAAATAGAATAATCTGACAAATTCTATAAATGGAACAGGCGTTACAATCTACCCACCTTAAAAAGAATCCCGCCCTCGGAATTCGAAAATAAAACTAGAAAGTGGTAAAATACAAAGGAGAACTCAGAACTCAATGTTCAGATAACGCCTCCTAATACCGTCCTCCCTCTCCCAAGTCGCCTCGGTCTCATCGTGTCGGCTCCACAGCACCTTCACCAAGCTCACTGCCCGGTTCCTCAACTAATGGACCTTCCGGTCCAAGATGGCTACCGGCACCTCCTCATAGGTGAGGTATCGCTCGACCTGCAGCTCGCCGAAGTCCACCACGTGATCAGGATCATGCACGTACCTCCGAAGCATTGAAACATGGAACACATCGTGCACACCCGAAAAATCTGGTGGTAAAGCCAGCCGATACGCTAAGTTCCCAACTCGGTCGAGGATCTCAAAAAGCCCGATATAGCAAGGTCTAAGATTTCCCTTCTTCCCGAAGCGAATCACACCTCTCATAGGTGAAACCTTCAAGAAGACATGATCTCCCACTGCATAAACATGCTCCTGCCTCTTCCGGTCGGCATAGACCTTCTGCCTCTCCTGGGCAGATCTGACGGTCTTCCGGATCTCTTCGACTGTCGCCGCAGTACTCTGAACAAAGTCCGGGCCCGTGATCCTCCTCTCTCCAACCTCATCCCAATACAAGGGAGTCCGGACCTTACGTCCGTACAAAGCCTCATATGGGACCATCTTGATCGAAGAGTGGTAGCTGTTGTTGTAGGTCAGCTCGACTAACGGAAGGGCATACTCCCAAGTTAGGCTTCGGTCCAAGACCACAACCCTCAAGATATCCTCCAAGTACTGGATCGTACGCTCCGACTGACCATCTGTCTCGGGGTGAAAGGCTGTACTGAACTCCAACCTCGTCCCCATGGCTCGATGCAGTGTCCTCCAGAACTGAGATGTGAACTTCGAGTCTCGATCAGAAACAATCTCCACGGGCACTCCATGAAGCTTGACAATGTCCTTGACGAACAATTCGGCATAATCACTCGCCTTCATGGTCGTCCGGACTGGCAGAAAATGGGCAGACTTCGTAAGGCGATCCACTATCACCCAAATCGAATCATACCCGCTCTTTGACTTCGGCAATCCCACCAGGAAATCCATGGTGATGCACTCCCACTTCCACTGGGGAACCTCGAGGGGCTGCAACAACCCTCTCAGTTTCTGGCGCGCAGCCTTCACTTGCTGACACACCAGGCACCCATCCACGAACTTTGCTACCTGCCTCTTCATGCCTCGCCACCAGAAAGACTTCCTCAGGTCTTGATACATCTTCGTGCTACCAGGATGGATGGTGTACGGGTAACTATGGGCCTCTCTCAAAATATCCCTTCGCAGTTCCCACACCTTCGGGACACAAAGTCTACCCTCGAAGACCAAGTCCCCATCAGATGCGATTGCGAATCCTCCAACTCTACCAGCTTCTGACAACTCTCTCATCCGGCATAAGAAACGATCATTCGGTTGCTCGGCGACTATCCTCTCTCGAAGAGTCGGTCCCACAACCAAAGAGGTCAAAATGCCCCCGGCTGTCGAAGTCGACTCCACTGTCTCCAGCTGCAATCGCTCGAACTCCCGAAGAAGAACATCCTGCCCGGTAAACAAGCAAGATAACTGGCCATGACTCCTCCGACTAAGGGCATCGGCTACCACGTTAGCTTTCCCAGGGTGATAGCTAATGGTGCAGTCGTAGTCCTTGACCAGCTCCAACCACCTACGCTGCCTCATATTCAGCTCCTTCTGAGTGAAAATGTACATCAGGCTCTTGTGGTCGGTAAAGATCTCACATTTACCTCCATAAAGGTAGTGCCGCCAAATCTTTAAGGCGTGGACAACTGCAGCTAACTCAAGATCATGAGTGGGGTAGTTCTGCTCGTGAGGCTTCAGCTGCCTTGAAGCATAGGCTACGACTTTCCCCTGCTGCATAAGGGCACATCCCAAACCCATCTTCGAAGCATCACTATAGATGGTGAACTCCAAAGTAGGGTCGGGTATAGATAGGACAGGTGCGGTAGTGAGTCTCCTCTTCAACTCCTGGAAACTCTCCTCGCACTGAGGACTCCAATCGAACCTCACGGCCTTCTTCGTAAGGTTGGTCAGTGGCTGGGCTATCTTCGAGAAGCCCTCGATAAACCTCCTGTAGTATCCTGCTAACCCCAGGAAACTACGAACATCTGCAGCACTTCTTGGCGTATCCCACTTGCTCACAGCCTCAATCTTGCTGGGATCCACCTCAATGCCTCGAGCTGTCACAATGTGGCCAAGGAATGCCACACGGTTCAGCCAGAACTCGCACTTCGAGAACTTAGCATACAACTTCTCGCGGCGAAATGTCTCCAGCACAATCCTCAAATGCTCCTTGTGCTGATCGATGTCTCGGGAATAGACCAGAATGTCGTCGATAAACACAATGACGAACTGGTCCAGGAAAGGATGAAAGACCCTATTCATAAGGTCCATGAAAACGGTTGGGGCATTGCTGAGTCCGAACGGCATGACTACAAACTCATAGTGGCCTTAGCGGGTACGGAAAGCAGTCTTGGAAATATCTGACTCCCGGATCTTTAGCTGATGATAGCCAGAACGCAAATCAATTTTTGAGAATACGTTGGCTCCTCTCAGCTGGTCGAAAAGGTCCTCGATACGGGGAAGGGGATACTTGTTCTTGACTGTAAGGGCATTCAACTCCCGATAGTCAATACACATGCGCATAGTTCCGTCTTTCTTCTTAACGAATAGGACGGGCGCACCCCAAGGCGAAACATTCGGACGGATAAAACCGAGCTTGAGCAACTCCTGGATCTGGGCCTTAAGCTCTTGAAGCTCCTTCGGCGCCATATGATAAGGGGCCTTAGAAACGGGGCTGGCTCCGGAAATTAGGTCAATGGTGAACTCCACCTGGCGGTCTGGCGGTCCTCCGGGTAAGTCATCAGGAAAGACGTCGAGGTACTCACAAACGATAGATACTCGCTCGGGCACCGCTCATCAACGACGTCGGATACCATGTAAACAAGATAGCCTTGACAGCTACCCTTGGAAAGGCTCTTCCTAGCTTGCATAGAAGAGATGACCCGAGGCATAGTCCTCAAACTCACCCCAAAGAACACAACAGGCTGATCAGAAACCGGATAGAGGGTGACTTCGCGCTCCTGGCACCGGATATCGGCTCGGTAACGGATGAGCCAGTCCATGCCCAAGATTACGTCAAAGTCTCGCATATCAATTACATAGGCATCGGCCTCTAGAACTCGACCACCAATGCAGATAGGGAGATTGCGAACCACAGAATCAGAGATAATAATTTTTCCCGAG